AACTTTAAGCACCACCAGTATCTCCCTCGACTAGAGCAAAGGCAATTGGGAAAATGTTATTGTTCCCATCTTGTGCAACTGCAATCAGTAGCGTGCCTTTATATTTCTCGTACAACCATGTTCCATCTATCTGAGTAATAGGTTTGCATGACGCAAACCCTGTGATGCAAGGTTGAAAATCCTAGAACAGTCAATTGAATATTCCATTGTCATTGACACAAGTACCATCTGGGGCATACGCCGGCAATGTTTCCATAATATAAATAGTTCCAGGAGCATACATCCAAAGTGCATGCAGGTAGCACGATAGGTCTTTGTATGACTCCTCCCAGTTTCCATATACTTTTTCAATCGCCTTGGTCTTTGTTAACCAGGCATTTCTGTATGGTGAAGTATAATTGTATACTGTAGTGATGTGAGAGATTATGGTTTTCACCTTCAATGACGAATCATTGCTGACGAGAGGTAAGATTTATTGACATATTAGATCATAATTTTGTTTACGATGATCTTGTGATTGAGTAGAATTAACGCAAGTGTGGGTGGATGTAGAACCTATCACCCAACAATCACTTCTCGTCGTGTATGATGTGGTGAGTCTGAACATACAATTTGGGTGGACACACTTGATTTTGTACCTATCTGGATTTACTCAATCCACCTTAAAATCGACAGAGTGTAACATGTGAAACTTTTTTATAGCTCGCACACAATCTTCTTTTGAACGAAATTTGTCTTTCTCTTTTAAATTTTCATCTGACAGCATATACGGGTTGATGAAAGCATCTAATGACGGTTCATATCCACCCATGATGAAGTTTGTCATGTGCGAAGGTGGTGTTTAGATATCATTTGGAGGTATTCCAGGTAGAGCATGGTCTTCAGAGACATCGTTGACCATGTTGTCAAACTCTAACTCTTCATCTTCCTCTTCTTCGTCAACGACGTCTACTTCAGCTTGTCCGTCTTCGTTGGGATCGATCATTTGTGATTGAGTTGGTTGCGACAGTTGAGGCTCTTGGAGCACAATGTACAACTCAATCGAGTCGTACCTAGATAATCATGAGTAGAAAACATATTTTGAAGGTCCTCTTCATCTTGAACTTCTACCTTATAAAATATTATTTGACTTTCACCAAAAAATCGGATTTTGGTAGAAGATGTGTGACACTGGACCTCGTTCAAGTTTGAGCTCTAGTCGTTTTTTGAAATACGAAAAAATTGGATTTTCTATTTAAACAAAATCAGATGTTATCAGTATTTCTAAATAAAAAACCAGAGACATCACAATTGTATGTCTCTCCATTGAAATATGCATTGATAACATATTATGTTATAGAGGACATTATGTCTGCGTGTTTGAGTGTTTGAGTATGTGCGAATTTGTTTGAGTGTTGATAACATAAGGTGCATGTAGGAGAATATATAACGTGCAGATGAGACGAACAAGATAAATTTGATCTACCAATGAGGTGCCAACTGAGATGGCAAATCCTCCTAGTATTGGCCTAAGGCACCAACTGGGATGGCGCATCCCTTATAGGCCTGTCACGTAGCATGCATGCTTTCCACCTACACTATGCCTGCCACCCACACCTGCACCTATGCTGCCACCCATGCTGCCATCTACGTCTGGCCCACGCCACTTTGAATGGCGCATGCACTATAAAGTGCATGGAGGCACCAACCAACTTTGCACATTGGTGACACGTGTTCTGCATGCATAGAACCCCCAACCACCTCATTAACTCATCTCTATACGAATTCGCTTATAAATATGGCGCCTCCGACACTTGTTTTGCATCACCAATCCTTACTCTCTCTGATACAAACTCTTTCACTGTCTTATACAATTTGAAATATGGTTCTTCTTACAATGGGCAATTCTCACAGAGGAACAAGACAAAACATTGTCGCGTCTGTAAGTTTTTATCATTTTATATATTCTTTTATCATATATAAATTTTATAAAATAATTATTTTATTCATTTTATAAAATCTTACACTGTTTACATTTTGAATTTAGAATACTAAAATATTTAGATGCCGCTCACACAATTACGTTGCTCCGGAACCGTTTATCGTCCCATATCTAGAATATGCCGGTTTTGGAAATTTTATAAAAATCTCAAACTACACGATTGATTCCAAATTTATTCTTGCAATGTTGAAAAAATGGAGACCCGAGACACACACCTTTCATCTACCAATAGGTAAATGTACAGTCACACTAGAGGACATGTACATGTTATTGGGTCTCCCTATCGATGATAAGGCGGTGAATGGGTCGGTTCAATAACTAAATTCTCTTTGCTTGGAATTGTTGGACAACGATATGGTGGATGCAACTGTTTCTAGGGGTCAAGGTATATTAATAACCGTACTTAAATCTCATTATGGGTCTCTTAGTTTGAATGAAAATTCGACCGAGCAAGAAAAAATAATTAAAGTTAGAAATTATCTTATGATATTATTTGGAAGCCTGTTATTCCCTGAAAGTACAGGGAATAGTGTAAATTTGATGTATTTAAGTTTGCTTAGAAACTTTGATAAAATAAGAAGTATAGTTGGGGTTCCACTATTTTAGCCCATCTATACAGTTCATTATATAAAAATACAACAAACGATAAATGTACTTTTTATGGATGCACTTTCTTGCTTCAAGCATGGGGTTTGTGGAGAATGGAGTCTCTTAACCCCGTGAGCAACAAGGTAAGTCAATAGCGTAAATAATTTATTATTCATCTCTTTGAAAAATAAATGTATAAAACTAAATATATTTCTTTCATTCTTTTAGGTATTGTGTAAGGGGTATGGATTACAACAAGAATCCAAGATTCAATGTCGCTCTATATCATAATCTTTTGGATCACCTTGGCCCGGATGATGTACATAGTACCTCTAAACTTTTCTACTTTTAACTTATTTATTTTTAAAGTTATCATTATTCCGATTAATTTTTGTCACAGTTTATTTGGAGACCATATTTGGATTTGGACCATAAACTCAACCCTGGGGATGCAGCAGTTTGGACTACAAAGACTGCAACCATACGGTTCAACATTATGGAGATGCACCACAACGACCGTATCAAGATGCAGTTTAGAATGCATCAAGATATACCATCTGATCCAACTTATTTGTCACCTTGGCATCTCAAAAGGGTCGACGCCCAATGGGGTGTTAATAATTGGAAAGATTTCGCTCTGGAATGGTGTAAGATGTGGCATAGGCGTCACCAATCTGTCTTACAATTCTCTGTTTTCCTCAACCAGATTAATATGCGACACACAAAACCAGTATATCGATTGGTACAAATCGATTACTAACCCTGAAATGCACGTGTCTCATATGAGGTATTTGATTGACCCATGCACACAATGGGCACAACCATACACCACACAAAAACAACCCCAACAACAAACCCAACACACATCAACCTCCCACCAAATACAACGACGATACAGATCCACCAACACCCAACCCCAAACCCAAGACCAATACCAATACAGACACATGCCTCACACACAATCATAGTACCAAAAATAACGATCATACATTCGACATCCTGATGTGGGCCCCTCGTCATCTCACCTTAGCCCAGACATTGGCCAACTTGAAGAATATTCACCAATCAACCCAACTTACCATCAGTCATCCTATCACCATAGCACCCAACAATCACAGTATTAAACCCCACAATATTTATTTTTTTTATCCCTCTTATTCAGACGACTAGTGCTATCGACTTCCCATGGAACCTCACCCCCAATCAATACGATCAAACTTTGAGGGCATGAGTAACCGATTGTTTAAAAGCGGATCTTCCAGATATGATGATCTGACGACTTTCATGGATTCTGAATGCATTGACTTCGTAGGACCCTCGACCCAACCACAATAGAAAATACGTTGAAACGCACAACAAGAGTCCCTGGAGACAACTAAATAATGTGTAATTTTTATTCTCATTATGTAATCGTTTAATTATTATTGAAAATCAACTTTCATTTGTAACGACATTTCCTTTTATTTTTTTAACAAAAAGAAAACTTTGTACCTAGATGCCATCTGAGATGACTAGACAAATGACATGCACTTAGGCGCCATCTCACTTGACGCTTCTTTTAAAAAAAAATCAATGTATGTGTCATCTGAGATGGTTATTTGCATAATTTTATCTTAAACATGATTATTTATGTTTTTTTTTCAAAACATAATTATTGCTAAACAAAATTTCATTTACGCATGTATTTGATGTAAAACATCCAAAAATACATTATTCACTTAGTTGTTAGTTGTTTGATAGGTTAGATTTTATATTTAGTCCTTTTTATTTTTCCTTTTTTCTTCAATAATTTGCCTTTATTAAAAAATAATAACTATAAAGATTAAATTTATATATTCAGTCGTAACAATTATTTTTTTAAATATACATCCAATTGAATTATTCTAAAATAACCCTTTTTTTAAAAATTAGTTCATAAAATACCACTATAAATATAAATATCTATTTGACACAGTTTAAATGAATACATGAGAGAAAAAAAATAGATATAGTTCAAATTAATCTCTAATTATAAATCATAAACCAAATTATTTGATGTAATCCAAACTGCACTTAATTTAGAATGACTTTTTGTTTAAGCTTAATAGCCCCACTCTCCATTTAGACCCAAAGAACTAGCTTGTCCATGAGTTTCATGTGGGGTTCATTCACACAGTAGAATAACTACACAAACAAATTTAATTGTGCCTAGGTTTTAACTAGAGCACAAGTGCCAAGGGGAAGTAACATTTGCTTTTGCACTAGGATGGGGAATTTTTCAGTCTCCATGAGAAAAAAGGGAATGGCTGCCATAAAATCTAACAGATGCATACATAGCTTGAGTCAAATGCATAAAATGTTTTTAGCCCCTAGAAGAAGCTGTACAACACACGCCACAACTACAGCATAACAGAACCCATAAAAACTCAGCAGTTTTGCAGTCGGCTACACATTATGGTCCTCTCTTCCGCCGCTTAGGCTCCACCTGCAATTCAAGATTTCAATGTTAATAATATTCAAATGCAGAGGTGAATCAACTCACTGGTCAAAAGAAACTAAATCTATATGCTCTCACTTAAGAAATGCTTATACTCTAATAACTTTTTTGTGTTTGAATATTCACATTAAAAGGTTATTATTTATGTTCTAAGTATTTGTTTTGAAGAGGGTGTGAGAGTAGGTTCCACATAAACTATTTATATAAACTATGGTATACGATAAACCTAAATAAATTGTAACTAAGCATTTCAAAACAACCCTTTTTCATCAATAGAATAGTGAAGTTTTTAAAAGCCTCCATAATTGTATAAAGTACAAGAAATCTAATTGTATAAAGGACCATCTTAAAATCACGAGATTTTAGAATAAGCTCTTACTAGTTAGTATACCCCAATTTCAGTCGGGCAATAAGCAAAGGATGCACCAAAGATAAAACATATACAGAAATCGGAGCAAGACCTAATGACTTCCAACCAGACATAATTTGTTTTAAATAAACAATCTTATTTGCTATTCACAGACACACTGAGCAAAACTTGTATACATAGCTTTAAATACATAGCTATAAATACATTTAAAAGAAGAGGATATATAGCTTAATGTGACTAGAAATCTAACTTTATAAGTACCTTGCATATACATATGTAAATCAAATTAAACCAAGAATAACTTAATGCCCCTCAGTGTTAAAAGTGGGTGAAGCGTGTGGGAGAGAGGTAAGTAATTTGTAGTAGTCAAGTCATGATGGTGGAGATTGTATACTCACTTTTCATAAATTATTCTAGAGCCTAGTTTAAGTAACTGCAAACATATTTCATCAAGAATAAGCAAATATCTAAATGACTATGATGATGTGAGTTAAGTTTTCGCAAAAAAAAAATGAAAATTAGCTTATCAGTAATTTCAACCTACAATGAGACATGAGACAAACAGTGAGGTATTTAAAATATTTCTGAAAAGTGAAAACTAGTGAAAGTGGATGGAAAAAAAAAACATGCCTACAGGCTACATCTACAACCCCGCACTCCAAATCTTGAAAAGATATATATTAGTCGTGTCAACATTTTGTAGAAACCAAATCAACAACCCCGCACTCCAAATCTTGAAAAGATATATATTAGTCGTGTCAACATTTTGTAGAAACCAAATCTTGATGAATCAGTAAAACCTCCACCAAAATTTATATGCAGTTATGTACATTTAATCATTTAAATTGTTTTCGGAAATTACCATATATACACAATTTACGGTTTATCATGCACCGAAGTTCTATTAAAAGAAAGGAAATATTCAGATTGATGTAACAATATAAAAGTGTGAACCTGAGTAAGAACGAACACTCAATTTGGTCATCGAAAGATAAGGAGGTTTCCAGCTTAACCCTTTGAAAATATTTGTTACGAGATTAGTTCCTCAAAGATTGAAAGAGAAAGGTCCACATTATTTCTCAAAATGATTTTTCACCACACTAAATTCATCAAAAATACAAATTGTCATCAAACTCATCCTTTAATATCACCAATTTGTATAGAAGAATTAGGTTATAATTGACATCAAGCCACTGACTCAGACATATGCTGCGAAAAACAAGTAATAAGAACAAAGGTGTAAAACGTAAATGAAACCTAAATTAAACTACTAACTCTCAAATATGGTGTAAGGTTTCTCCCTCTTTTCTTTTCCCCTCCAAACTGCCAAATGAAACCTAATGCTACACAAATGTTACACCACCCACTTTTACTCAGTGATGTGCCCCCTTTCCCCTCTCTCCCTACAGATGCCGGGGTAGGAACAATTGACATTAAACTACTGATTCAAACGTATGTTATGAAAAACAAGTAACAAAAACAAAGATGTAAAAAATTGTTACTGGATGCAAGAAATCACCTTGCTATCAGATCCAGGAGATGAAGAAAATGTAGTTTGGGGTTTCTTTATGTCGTCATCAGATGAACATTCAGCACAAACAAAATGGTCCAATTTCTTTGCTTCTTCAATAGTCACGCCCACGCAAGCAGGATGGTACCTACAAGAAACCTACAAAAATTGAAATTTTTGTTTCATAAAACACAATATAACACGATTCTTGGACACACTTCGTAGATTTAACACACTTTGCATCCGCGATCTTATATGATAACCTTCAGCGCAACTATCCATCTAATGAACACAAGGAACAAGCCATTGAATCTATATAATCTCACATGTATTGAAGAAAGTAAAGAAACAGAACCCAAAATCATGTCACAGCTGACACCACACATCAGAAGTTTCAACCAACAATAAAATCTAGCTGTCACTGAATTTTTTGGCATGAGTAGGTCACTAGTAAACGAACAATTCTATACTCTCAATAAAAATACTATCCATTAAGACCACCATGCAAAAAAGCATATAAAGACCAAACATAGAGAATTACAGAAACATAGCGCATAAAAGGTCAAAACTATTAGACTAAAACATGGTAACTATTCTCCTTGCCAATTTAAGACCCGAAAGTCTTAAGAGCGTTTAGCTTGATTCCATATATGCTGCTAAAAACTATAAGTAGTATAGAAAAAGTAACGGTGAATACAAGAGAGTGAAATTTGTTTACCAATCCTTGCAGCCCTCGCATTGTACCATGAGGTCATCCGGGTTATACGGCATTTCACATTTGCAATACCTTGAAAACACAAACGAAATAAACATAATTGAAAACGAATTACAGTTACAGAAGAAGTGGTTATAAAAAAGAAAAGAAAACTCACACGGCGACCCGGTCAGGAGTGAAAGCACCGGTAGCAGCCTTATACTCAAATCTACAATAATAATCCTCAGAACCTACATTGTCAAGCTTAGTATAATTCTTAAAAGAATGAACAACACATTTCCCTTCAATAGTGTGAGCACTCTGAACATCATAATGGTCAGAGAGAAAAAGCTCTTTAGCACCATGAAACTGTCTGCGACCCCCAATTGATTCCTCAGGTCTGTAATACCACCTCACGCGCACTCTCACATTGTTTCTGTTGTCTTGTTCGATCTTCTCCACGTGAGCTACGTACGGGGGTTTTGATGTGTCCGTAGGTCGCATCAGAACACATTCTCCGCCTGAAAAAATTAACATAATCAAATCAAGAACAAAGAGATTATATAGGGTTTGTTGTTGTTGTTGTTGTTGTTGTTTTCAATTACCTCTTACGATCTTGTTTGTGCCTCTGATTGTATATGAGTCTAAATCCTTTTTGCCTGGTCTCGTTTTCGCCATGTGAAATGAAATGAATTAACAACTTTGTTTGATTTACTTTTTATTTTTTTCACTTTCCCCCTTTCAATTTTTCAACCACAAAGGAAAAATGAACCCTAACATATACTCCTGTGTGTCTTGTGATTGTGACGCTTCGCCTGAGTTTTTATTCTTACACATGGAACGCGCTTCTTCCCGTTCTATTATTTCACCGTTTTACTTTTCATAAGCAACGTTTCACCGTTTTCTAATTTCTAGTACTCTCATTCAATGCAAGCCGCTGTTAATTTTTTTTACATGTATATAAATTATTATTATTGTTTTTTTATTTTTTATTTTATATATTCTATTGAGGAATCAAAATTTGAATGTCCTATAGGCGGAATACATTTTTGATGCAACAGAGAAGAGATTCATATGTAATGTTTGCACTCTAACATTTAACTTAATGAGAGAATAATAAGAAATGTGTGAGTGAGAGTGAACTTAAATAATAAGTTTCGTTTGTTATTGGATGAAAGAGGGTTTACCTACTCTACGTGTTTGGCCGATTGGTGGTGCTCTTCAGCCTTTTGCTTTGGATCTTGCGAACGGTTTAGAATAGTTGTCACTTAAGCCTCTGTCATTGCTTTGTAGGACGAAGGCTTGTCGTGTGCGCCTTAGCACAACTACTTGGCTAGAGTAGATGAAAAACCTTGATGAGGCGTCACTATCATTAGGAACATACACATTAAATATCTCTCTTGTAATACGTAGTATTTTGCGAGAGTCTTTGACATGTGTTCTTATGCTAGTCAATAACGATACTTCCTCTACCTCATGGTACTTGAGTACTTTGAACAATCTTTGATGAAATCTCGACCGTTGGTAGTGTGTCTCGCATTTCCCTATGTAGTGGATCGCACGGTCCTTCGTGGTTGAGGCACACATAAAAGGGTTCTTGAAGGATCATTTTCCCATTTTCCATTTGCAAACAATAAAAGATTTTCTTCTTCGTCTCCCCACTTCGCTCTTTTATGTGAGTTATTCTGCACTGATTTTTTGATTAGGTTCATTTTTTATTCTTGTTCGGTTGTATCTGAGGCGCATATGTTGTGAAAGTATTTGCCTCTTAGATAAATGTTTTATATGATATCAAAACTATAATTAATTTAGTTTCTATGTATGTTGAACGGTATCTCTGAGTCATTGTGTACACCCTTGTATTAGGGATCTTATAATGCATCTAGAAGATATTTGAAAAGGTTGTTAATAGGTATCATGCATTAAAAATTAATTTTTGCATAAAAATCAGTTGTATGTGTCGACACATCCATTTTATGCGTAGACACATATGACTTAATAATAAAGCATGTAAGGTTTGTAACTATATGTCGATACATCCTTCATTTCAGGTCGACACATGTCATTAAAAAAGCCTTAGATGCGCTGACATATACGTGTTTCGTGTCGACACATGTATTGTTGTTTTAAAGTCTGTAGCTTCTATAACTTTGTGTCGACACATTGACCTCATATAGGTTGATACATGTCATTACATATGTCGACACATAACAAACATGTGTGGATGCATGCGTCAGTATTTTCTAAAAATTGTTTTCCTTTTCAAACTTCTAGGTTTCCCTTTTGCCTCCAACTTGTACACCTATATATACTTCATACATGCATCATTTTCAATTTGATGAAACTATAAACATATACTAAGATTGCTCATCATCTTCAATCATGCATCTATGCATACACACAAACAAAGTATACATAATCATTCATTGTTTGGGTGCCATCTAGACTTGGTTGATAATATTCAATTTAGGTTGGTTGTAACCTAAGGTTGGGTTTAGAATCATAGGGGGTTTCATCGGAAAAATTGTGAGAGTTTTTACATCAAGATCAAAGTGTGGATTTGGGGTTTTTTATAAGGTTTCGCCAATATTGAATTCGACCGAGTGAAAGACTTTGAAGAACGAGAGGTTTTTGCAAAGGAGTAGCGCGAGACGATGAATCGTTTGGGAACCTTGGGTGACAATAATTTGTAATTTGGATTCGGCCAAGTGAAGAGCTTTGAACAACCGTGGTTTATTGCAAAGGAGTAGTGTGAGACGGTGGATCAAATTGGCATTGTTGGGTGACTTGATCAAACTCAGATCAAGGGAAGAGAAATTGTTAGGATCAACATCAAACATAGGGTTTGTAGGGTTGGATTTCTATATTTCTCTTGTAAACGATTTTTTGTATAGTAAGAATTTGTATCTCAATTCTAAATGGAATTGGGGGAAGACGTAGCCATAACGAGGACGATTGGAGAACTGTCTAAACAAATCATGCCTCTCTCTCTAACTCTCTCTCTCTCTCTCTCTCTCTCTCTCTCTCTCTCTCTCTCTCTCTCTCTCTCTCTATCTCTCTCTCTCTCTCTCTCACACACACACACACACACACACACACACACACACACTTATATTTTATTAGCAATTTGTTAAACTATTTGATTGTGCAATTAATTCGTATAGAAAAATACTTTGATTGGTGAACTTTCTTTGTTTACTACCTTATAATCTATTAGATTGTAAGAGGTATTTGATACCAACAAAGTTCAAAGCAAAATCTGAAAAATTAAGTGTCCATCAAGTGTTCGATAAATTTGTTCACTTTGTTTTACCAATTGCACACTAAGTGTTCGATAAATTGCTTCACTTAGTTTTATCAATTGTTTCATTGGATATTGGTTGACCTTGTAATTGTAAAACAATTACTTGAGAGATTACTATATTAAGATCTTATTATCATCATTTAATTGAGTTTTATATCATGCATATTCGAGCCTTCAATAATCGGTTTGGTTTGAACGACTTGTGATATAGGATACGACTTTCGTTTGCCATAGTTTTTGCTTAATTTTTAAAAATAGTTTTTTAAGTAAATTTTTCCTTGGAGATCTATTCACCCTCCTCTATATAAGTTGTTGTCTTCTAACAAGTGGCATCAAGAACCTGATTTATTCTGTGTGCTTCAAAAAACACTTATTAGAAAATGGTTACCAAACCTAAAGGGGCGTACAATAGAGTGCACGTATTCATCGTGAAAACTATGGTTATTGAAAAGCTAGTATGCATATTCATATGATAAGAGTGTGTGGGATGTTATTGTCAATGGTCCAATGAAAATTACCGTAACCGTAGATAGTGTCACTACACCTAAACCAAAAACACAATAGAATGATAATGATAAGAAAAAGTGAGGTTACGATGAAGGAAAATTGCAATCTAAAATGCAGCAAAAATTAAAAAATTTCTTTAGTGATCCTTACGAATGGGTATGGTCAATGATAGAATACATTACCTCTTGTGGAGATTCAGACTTTTGATGTTGGGATCACGAGCGTTGATGAAGAAAAACTCCTTTACTCAGTCCGCACCAACAGATCGCTTTCGGTCACAGTGCTAGCTGCTTACGAAAGAAAACTTTGAGTGAGACAGTGATACAAAATACGACTAGGGTTTCAAGACCGAAATTTCATCAAGTGAAATGCTTCAGCACAAGGGCTCTATTTATAGAACCACTTGTGTGGGCTGCAAGCTAAAATCCCAATTAAGGAAGCAAACTAAAAGCCCAATTAAGCGTACAAGCCCAATTAAGCGTATGAGCATCATACCTTATTATATACCGCATATCACCTAAGCGTGTGGTACCTTATCATATTTTGTATTTCACTTAAGTGTATTATACCTTACGGTGTTCTATAATTCACTTAAGTGCACTGTACCTTATGGTGTCCCTTATTTACTATATATATCATCAACCTATCCTTATGTGTGTGACCCTGTAGGTTTTAGAGACGTTGGCAATTATATTAAATCACACATTTAACATAATAAATAGTAAGCGGTATCTAACAACACATCACTGCTACCTAAGTCACGAAAATGTCATGTGATCTGACAAAATCTTTCTGTGATAATATTTGTGTGTATAATTACTTTTTTGCCCTTATGTTTATATTGAACACAAGCATAAACTGTGTCACCCTTGTCAAGTTTAATATTGGGCCCTTAGACATTTATCCTGTTATGCGGGATGTGCAAATTGTTGGTGTAAGCCCTAGAGGCCAATACTTTTGGTACTTGTATCGAATTATTTATTAATAATAAAAGGCATTTCTTTATTATGTTTGCTTTCCAAAATAATAAAGTCCCTAGAATGGTTTATTTGTTTAATGAAATGTTAAGTGTGACTTAATCATGAGATCCCATTAAACATAAGACACTATTCTTAAAATATCTGTAGTCAAGCTTTAATGTGAAGTGGGATAACATTAAAGCATTAAGATTATTATGAAGATAGATTGATGATCACATCTCATGGATCATAGATAAGGAGTTATCAAGTCTTGACATATGTATGAATATTAGGAGTAATATTTATACTGGATTGACCCGCTATAAGAATACTACATAGAATGTTATGCAAAGTGTCATAAGTTATTCTCATGACGATAATGGTGTATACCACCCTTCGACCTGAAACCACTATGGACCCTAGATGTAGAGTCAAGTACTTTATTGCTGATCAAACGTCATCCGTAACTGGATGACTATAAAGACGGTTGATGGGTACTTCACAAAGCATGCTAAGGGACATGAGTGACCTAGATGGAATTTGCTCATCCTGCATAACAGGATAAATGTCTAAGGGCCCAATATTGAACTGGACAAGGGTGACACGGTGTATGCCTTGTGTTCAATATAGACATGAGGGCAAAAGGGTAATTGTACAACACAAATATTATCACGGAAAAGGTTTAGTCAGATCACATGACATTTTCGTGACTTGGGTAACAATGATGTGTTGCTAGATACCGCTCACTGTTTATTATATTAAATGTGTGATTTAATATAATTGCCAACGTCGCGAAAACCTACAGGGTCACACACATAAGGACAGGTTGATGAGAGATAGAATAAATAAGGAACACCGTAAGGTACGGTGCACTTAAGTGTAATACGGAAAGTGGTAAGGTACCACGT